TTAAAATTCACCTTCTCTTTTAAGCGTTTCCCCATGTGCTGTCTACATGAAAGCCCTCTTATCTTTGGTGTCTTTTTTACTATTGTCCTAGCTAAGCACATTTGTGAACCAAGATAAAGTACTTTACTTAAAAAGCTCACTTGGTGAGCTGGAATTTGCTTCTAGACAATGGTAGTAGCCATTGTATTGATCTRTTGCTTAAAGTATCAATAGTAGATATTGGGATGATAGGTCAATACAAAAGAATGTAAAAACTCAGTTGCATCACTTTGCAATCRTTGACAGGAGTCCTTTGCCAGAGCGAAAAATTGGGTCAAAGAACTTCAGCGGCAAGCAAGCCCCAACATTGTAATAGCTTTAGCAGGAAACAAAGCTGATCTAGCTAACAAAAGAGCTGTGGATTTCCAGGTATGTATGCATAGCTTCYGTTTATAAATAAAGTGCTTCTTTGGGATAAAAGTAAGCAAGTCTTCAGGAAGCTGCTTTGTGCAGTCTTAAGTACTGGCTGTAGAGGTCATGCTGTTAAATATAAATGCAACTGAATTGTATAGAAACAGCTCTTTCAGCAACATATAAATTGTGTAGCAATGGACTTTTTACAAGGCAAATAGAATTGCTGTTGCTTGATGTGACCTTTTGTCTTCCACCCCAAATTAGCACTGGGACTGGTAAACAGTATCTAAAGTTCAAATGCCCTTGGTAACAGTAACTCTCAATGTGAACCATTCTCTGAGAGTTGTTAGAGGAGAAGTTTTGAATCAGCATACGATATAAAGCTGGTGGTTGTACCAAGCTTGCTTCCACTATTCTGTGGAAGCAACATTCCGAGTTTTAACTGCAGCGCTCATCTTTCCATGTGTTCTAGTTGATACACCTGCATTGCCTGAGACATTTAAACTTTTAGAACATTTTTCCAAATAATTGGAAAATGGTTGCCCTATCAAATAGAAAACTCACTGCAGATGATTCTGGTCCATCTATCATGGAATCGGAATAAATTTTCTTAAGATCACAGGGTTTATTTGTTAGTCATCACTTCTACTGTTTTGATCTATATTTGGTATCACCATGCAAGATGCAAGTTTTGTATAGCAGTGAATTGTAGTAACTTTATTTTCTCRTATTCAACAATTTCTGATTGCATACTGTCATGTCAGTAGCAACACAAAGCTGTATTTTAGTATAATTTCATATATTACAAAAATTTACAGTATCTCATAAAATTTGCACCTGTATAAACTCCTGAAGATTAWTCAAATTCAACTGGCTAGTTTCTTTGACCAAAATAGAACTGATTTGACATATTTTTCAAGTATTGATATTTTTGTTAAGGTGATGTGAAGTTTAGAATAAGCCAGTGATGTTCTCTGTTTCACTGGACAGTTCACTGGAAGTTTCAGAGACTCCCAAGTGTTCGTAAATGTGTTATTTCAGATATTACATAGATCTTTGTACTTGTTTAAATGACATCATCTAAGTAGTATGCATGATGCACACTTTTGTCATAGCTATAGCTAGGGTTTTTGCCTTTCCTGTATTGAATCCAAGGCAGTGACATAACTGTAAAGAACTGTACAGATTTTTAGTTGTACTTGCTATTAAGAAGTGGCAAAAATGGGGCAGTTTTTCAAAGTGTTAAAGTGTATTTCAGATAAACACTCAGACTGATAGAGAAGGTAAATGGACAAGATATTTAGTACTGTTTTCTGTCATGAATTGCTCTAGGAGTAGTGGAACTATTCTGATAAATCTGCTTCAGTGAGTGAGAATTTCAGAATAGCTCACAAACTGCCTTCTTTCCTGGATGACAGACTTTTTGACTTTAGATGACACTTTCTGGAGCATTCTTACTCTTGTAGCCAGAGTTATGGGTCAAGGTTTTGTTTTTAATAAAAGTTTTCATTTATTATTTATTTTTGCTTTAGGCTTTTTGATATTTTTAAGTAAAGATTAAGATTGCAGTATTAAATGTTTAACTGCTATTATTGAAGCTTTATTATAACTTCATAGTTATGAAAAGTATGTTGTCATCTAAGTGTTTCAGCAAACTTCCTGTCAAAATGAAATAAAATTTGCTCTTAGTAGCAGTAAGAATACTGTAGGTACTAATTGTGTGATTTAAAAAAAGTGAAGTAATGCATTCCTGTTTTATCTTTCAGGAAGCACAGGCTTATGCAGATGACAACAGCTTATTGTTTATGGAGACATCTGCCAAAACATCTATGAACGTAAATGAAATTTTCATGGCAATTGGTGAGTTTAAGAGCAAAACTGCAACTTAGCATGAATTTCAGGAAAACAGTTTCCCTATCAGGACACTTCTTGTCCAGACTATTTTACTTTCTCGCTTAGTCTTTCAGTGGCGCTGTTTTGTTGTTGTCTTAGTGGTGTAGTTGATTGTGTGGTGAGTTGTTCTGTGTGTTTTTTTTAGTTTGTTTGTTTGTTTTCATATATTCAAAAGTCAGATAAACTTTCTTGAAGCACAGTTGGTCAGGATTTAGGTATTTTCTTGGACTAAGTAGCAACAACTAAGTGAGATTACTTTCAAATTCAGTTAAGGAAATGCTAACCAGTCTATGTTTTAGTTCTGTGATCACTTATCCTCTTTCAGGTTTAATGTGTTGTTACATACTGGCGGAAGGCTATAGTTTTCCCATTGTATGGGGAACCATAAAAAACTTACCTCTTCTAAGCATAGAATATGTTTAGGATTTGTTTATCAGTAATGAGTTTATCAGCTTGTCAGTATGAGAATGTTAAAGTGTATAAACTTGTTTTTAATGGTATGCCATAAACAGCAGATACTGTGCTGACCTGTGCCAAACCTAGAATACTGTAACTTTTATGAAGTAAATGTAACTGAAGCTGAAAACATTACTTTAAAATAGGAGAAAGGTCACACCTTAAGTCAAGTGTATTGATTTTAGTCTAAACCAAGTATTTGCTAAATACGCTTTTGTGTTTAAAATCTTAGTTGAATCCAAATACAGCAATCTGAAGTCTAAAAGTTGTGCTGAAGATAAATATGTTTAAATTTGTGAGAAAAGTAAAGGTACTAATTTCACATTTTTAGCCTTAACATAGCTTAACATGTCACACCTGGATAGATACTTTTTGCTGTATTTTYGTCCTAGAAAATAACTTAGCTAATGATTAAGATGTCTTAACTTTTTTTTTATCAGCACACTATTCAGATTTTTACGGTGATCATACTGATACTCCTGAGTAATGAAGCACTGACAGACTATGTACTCAAATGATTTAATCTAAGTACAGTCTCAGTTTAACTATTATTTCTTACTGCTTTTATAGCAAAAAAATTGCCCAAGAATGAACCACAGAATGCAGGCGCCAGCTCCGTCAGAGGAAGAGGAGTAGACCTCACTGAACCCACTCAACCACCCAAGAGTCAATGTTGTAGTAACTAAAAGATCGATTGCTTTAAACTGTTCTCAATATTCTTCTGCTTCCTAACTGTCAATAACAATGGAGTTGGAGTGCTTAACCAGGCCCAGTTCAGCTTCCAAACAGTGAAGAGACTTATGATAATAGTCAAGTTTATGATGCAGAATTTTCTTTTGACCTTAATTTTAACATGCATGTATCACTGGCTGTTATGTTTCAGCAGTAGAGAAGAGATGGAAGTGGAATAAACTTGCTTCAGTTGAAAGGTTTTAAAAATCACTTGCCATTAGGGATATAGAAGAACTGTTTTCCATGGACCTAATTGGCCAGTTCCTGTAGCTCCAATACTGGTTACTGTTATAAAGAATAGAATTGGGACTCTTCGTACTTCTCAATTATGCTTTAAAACCTTTTTAGAAACAGGGTCTAAAAACTGATTAAATTTATTCAAAGTATTGATGCAACCAGTTGTTTCTGCAGGTATCCTCTGTTTAGTTATACATTCCATAGTTTAATAATTTAATTACAAATATATTTGCATTAACAATTTTAAGAACCTCGTGCTTGCAGGAAAGTGGAATTTTAGTTGGTACACTGTATGTAAATTTTTATCAACCTGGTTAGTTATCTAAAGAAAATAGTGATTAAATCAAGTTTAACTTCATTTTTAATGTGTTCRGAAGGTGCAAACCAGTAAATTCAACTTCACAACGTAGGATTTTTTTTGTCTACAAACTGTAAGAGCTCTTCAAGTAAAACCACAACAAACTCGGTGTCTGTGACTTTTTTTCTTAGTTTTCATCATTGCTGGCCATTACAGTTTCTTATGTTCCCTGCCCTCCTTCCCCCTCAAGGAAAAAAATAGTGCACTAACAATTAYGTACATTCAACTTGATTTTAAATTTGGATATTAATGTACTGTAAATAGGGTACTCTGCATTGTAGTCTACATTTGTTTAATACTTTCTGTAATATTTAAGAGTTGCTTAAAGGTATACAGAATGTACAGTTACTTAAAGCTAACTTYTTTCCTCTCTAATCAAAGGGGGTTCTGAGTTCTTCCTTTATGGCTAGAACAGTAATAAATGATGCTCCTGTATCTGTAACATAAGTACTGCTGTCTGTCAGTAATGAACTTTGCAACTTTGTTTTCCAAAGTACATTTTATTTTGATCTGTCCAGTATATTGCACTAATTCTTTTAGTTATTTTCATTATATGAAATCTACCAAGTGTGTCAGAAGAGATGAATTAGCCTATTTAAATGTTGAGCTGATAGCAGAAACTTACTTGTGCAGATTTTAAATTTGCAGTAATCTGGATTTAGCAAGGAAAATAACAGTTCACCGGTGTTTAGTTTTATATTGAGGTGCTCAGGTTTGAATAAAGTGGTTAAAAAAAAAAGATTTGTGATTAGTGTTTCTTYTAAGTTTCAGAAGCTTTTATTGCATTTGCACAGTTCCAGAGAAGATGTCAGATTTCTTATACTCAATTGCCTGTGTGGATCATTATTCAAGATGCTTGTGAGCAACTCCATGGCACAGCTAAATATAAGCTTGTAACATGTATGTGCCACTTACTGTATGTGTCACAATTTTAGATGTTGACATAACTAGGTATTTTATCGCATCCATTTAGAAGTACGATCAAAACAGTAATGTTATCCCGCGAGCCCGCAGCCAGCGCAGTCTGTACCAGGTGCTCACTGAGGTAGCCTGCAACCTCCTCGTAGAATGTCGCAGCGGGGACCCTGCCTCTTGCTGCTGTGGGTGGTTCACAAGTGGCCGGATAGACTCTCGTGTCGTCCTCACACTGTGGCGTTGGTGTGGAACCAGCCGTCGGCACGGTCTCAACCAGTTGTTGACTGGTGTAACTTGCAGTCTTGTCAGAAAATGGCTGGGAGTCCACTTTTCCTGTCAATTTTGTATCAGAGTTACAATTAGAAAGGTAAGTTTTTGTGTTGTCTTTGGGCTGCTTTGTGTCTGTAATCTCCGTTACCAGTACATTCAGTTGGTCAGTGTGACTTGGACCACTTGCACAGAAAGTGTCTGTGTCACCTCGCCCGACAGTCTGTGAATGTGGCTGAAAACTGCTGCATRGATGGACTTTTTGGTCCTCAGGCTGCTTTGTTTCTTCAGAGCTCCTTTGTGTGCTAGGATCAGGCTGTGTTGTCCCACTCCTCTGTGAATGTGTTTCATTGTCGCTGGAAGGACATGGTTCTGTATGAGCTTGGTTTCTGTGGTCATCAGTGTCTTTCAAATTTTCATCTTCACTGTACAGGTAGCTGCTCCTGGAACATCTTGTTTCATTTTGTGCCAGGTTGCCTTTTGGGTTGGCAAGAAAAATATCCATATTGGATTGTAACATCTCTGGTCTGTCTTCTTTATCATGAATAGCATTTGAGTTATTTAAGCCTTTTTCAGAGACAGGCATCAAACATTGACCCTTAGGCAGAGGAGTCCCATTTTGTTGGATGCTTCCATACATGCTCAAATAATGAGTGAATATTTTTAGTGTTAAAGCAAGAACCTCATGGTAATCCAAAACTTCCCAAAGCCCATTGGAAGCTAAAATAAGGAACTGACAGGAATCATCAATGGGGACAGAGACGGTGTGAGGAACAGGTATAACAGACTTTTTGAGAACTGGATCTCCGTGATATCCAAGAGCCCTTGTGGTTCTCAGATGCCCTTCTACTAATCCATCTGGTTCATTACTGCTGATTTTGCCACCACTCTGCAGTATGCGTTTTCTCTCGCGTGCGTTAGAAGTGCTGTGCTCTTCTGAGAGGCGATATGCTCTTCCATTTTTACATAAGACTGCATGTATGTTACCTAAAAGAAGAGAATATTTTATAACAGACTGTTTTTCAAAGATACTGTTACATCAATATTTAGCCTTTTGCTAAGGACTATAGAAAGCAGAGGTCATAGCTGAATTTTCTGCTATTACAGGTGATCATACTTCCATTAGTGACTCTCTTTCCATTTTATGCCAAGGTTATTTATTTTCTTCGGTTATTCCGAAGGCTATGCCAGAACATCTTTCTTCTGGCTGCAGCTAAACTTTTATGACAAATGTAAATACTTTTCTCAGAGATTAAAGTGCAATCTGATAGAAATATTGTATCTTGGCTGGGTTGTAAGCAAGAGTACATACAGATAATGTAATCTCTTCTCAAATACTCTGTTTTGAAGGGATATAGCTTTCAAAATGTTATTGCTGAATTAAGCCATCAAAAAGTTTGATACTTGGAATATTTATAAAGATTTCAAAAGCTCTAGTATCTACCAGATGATTTGGATATTTCTTAAGAGTTTACACTTCACTAAGGCTTACTAGTCTTAAATTGCTTTGTCAGGTTAGTATGGCAAGGGAACAAGTTCTTGCAGGACCCACGTTGAGTCAGGGACTAATTTCCTATTCTTTTTTTTTTTTTTTCCCATCAAGACTCTTGAAATCTACAGAGTGCAAAGTGGTTGAAATCAGTGATGTGCTGCAGAAAGAACAAATGGAATCGTGGCTTTACAGAGGCAAAGTTGGCCATAATCTGCTCTTTTATAGAGTATTTTTAGTATTTTCTGGCTTGATTAGAGCATAGATCTACTTTGAAGGGATTTATAGGTAAGGGATATATAGCAGTTACATATAAGAGATATATATACAGTTTATATAGGGATATATAACTTGCTTATACAGCAGTTATGTTTTCTGAGATGTACTGCCATGGTCTAATTTAGGAAACAGAGCTGTAGGTAGCCTATGTGAAGGCAAATYTCTCTACAAGGTAATTCAGAATTACCACATAGAAGTATACATTTCCTCAATGATTATAGAATGTGAATATCTTAATTTTTATATATTTCCTTGCTGTTTTCTTCTCCACCTTTCTCTACAAGGGAGAGTTGAAGAAAGAGAACTGGAAAGATGTCCAAAATTTCTTATAATCATTCAGATTAGAAATCTAAGTTGGAAAGTTAACAAATAATATAATATAACGGTCAACAAAAATAAGCTGAGCGTGGGAAGAAATGAAGAAGAAAGTTCTAAATTCATTAGGAGTAGAAGGTTAGACTGTAACTGGTTTTTATAATAGTCTGGCAGGCTTTCCCCAGAATAAATGTACTACTTCTGAAGAAGGGAGAACCAAGTGTGGCTTGATTCATGTGACAGGCTGCTTTTAATTATTGATATACTGAGTCTTGAAACTTAAGTTTCTAGAATCTAAGTCTTCCTTCCTTTGATCCACTCTCTTCTGYGTGGCAGTAAGTTTATGCTGCTGTGTAGTTAACCAAGTTGAGGAAGAGAAATGCTTACAATTTTGTGTGTGTGTGTGTGTGCATACACTTTTTTTTCTGTTTTACAGGTTAATTATCAGCTGGAKCCATTACTTGGTCTGATTCATTATCTAGCTACATAAAATTCTTGTTGCCATCATGAAGTAGAGGTGCTATGCAGCAAGTGTAGAAGAATGGAAAGGGCTGTAGACCAGTTATTTCAGTGACAGTTAATGTTAGTTTATAGTCTTCCTCAAACTTAAAGATTTACCTCTTATTGCTGTACAAAAATGATAGATTTTTATATACGGGGTCAGTCTTTCCAAATATGATGGTTTTTTTTCCCTCTTAAAGAAATGACGGTGCTTTTAAAATGATTATTCCATCCCAACTGATCTTTGAACATCGTGTTCAATTTTGAGGTCCAGTGTGAAAAGGTTTTATAGGTTTTGTGAAAACAGATGTCTGGGGAGGAAAGGTGTCTGTTCGTGTCCTTACTGATTGAAAGTTGTAATGTGGCTACACTCCTTACTAAATACTAGAGAGAATAAAACACTAAATACTCTTGTACTGGTGACATGTCTAACGCAGAGACTGGAAGATGCTGGAGAATCTAACCATAGACACAAATCTATTTGAAACTATTCACTCATCACCTTTTTTTTTTTAATATGCTTTTGCTTGTGTGTTCCTTTACAGGATGACAGTTGCCTTGCTTATAATCTTAAAACTGTTTTAAATACACAGAGAACTTAACGGGTAAYAAATATCTATGAAGCTGCATCTACAAAGAACTGCAAAGAGCTTTGTCCAGTGTGCTGCCTGCAACAGAGCTGTGAGGAAAAAGGGAAGTATTGGGAATGTATCAATACTTTTCTTTACAACTAATAATGGTTTTTTTTTCCCCTATAAATTGGGAAAACAAAAATCCCCTCTATAACAAATAGGGTTGAACAGAGCTTCTGTAACAGCAGGAACTAACAGCCAATTGCTATGTCAGTAATCCCCACAGATAATATTTTTAGTTTGCTGATAGCAGAAGTTGATGGCACTTGATCTTAAGGAAGAAATGAGTAATAGAAGAAAATATCTTAAACATGTTTCCTTGACAGAAGGGATTTATCAGGCCTAAAACCAGAAGTTTTTTGATTATGTGACCTAAAATAATGACATCATAAGTCTTCCTCTTCGGAAAAAAATTTACTCCATGTTTACACAGATCACTTCTGTATTACAGAATATTTCTTAATTGCATCTTTTATATTAGTAAATTGACCTTACTGCTCTAATTCCAATTCCCATCTCCACCTCCCCAAATTAAAACCAAAAAAACAAACAAACAAAAAACACTAGCCTAAAATGTACATACCAATATTGGCAACGTGCAGTAACCCARCAACACCTTTAGATGTCCTGGCTAATGGACCGTGCCCATGTTTTTCTAAAGGCTTTCTTTCCATCTCCGTAGTGCTGTCTGTCTCTTCACTGTGAATTCTCTCCACCAAACAGGCAAGAACTGAACAGCCGCTCCAGCGAACTTTGGAAGCTTCATTCCTTCCTAGTTGTAAAAGTCTGTCCATTCTCCAGAAGGATTTGGCATATGCTTTGTGAATCCATTTGTAAGTATTTGTCTTGTTGGTCTTGTCATTGTCCTGCTTATCAGAGAAAATCCTCTCTCTCTCCCTGTAATCTACTGTGATTACTGTGGAAAAAGAATCTAGAATTTTCTGTTCCTCCATACTCTTCCTGTAGGAGGAATCTGTTTCAGCAAGTTGGTCAAGAAATAAAAGTGGAAGCTCTGCTGAAACTGTTTCTGCAGCTGCCACACCATGATAGCCATCAACTAACCCCAGAAAACATGTGTCTGACCTACTTCCATAATTGTCCAGCACAATATATCTGTCTTCCATGTCTCCTTGCCAAGTGGGATTTTTATCTTGGCAAATTGATAATGCTTTTATTAAAGAATTTTTTACATTCTTAAGAGTGCTAGAATTGTTAATGTTATCCATGTCACAATGTGATGAGTAAGTCTGTATATCTGTAAGGAACTCAAATGAATAATCAATCTTCTGCCTATAACTCTCAGAATATCTAGGGAGTTTGGTCAGATTTGAAATCAGCTCCTGTCTCCGAGCTAAAAGTGTTTCATTGTCTGTCTTCATCTGTGGACTATTGTAGCCCAGATATCTTAGAGCCAAGTGCTTTTTTTTATGATAAAAAAGATGATATGGATATATTGTTTGTTGACATATTGAGCAGACAATTGAAATGCCTGTGGGATCTACATTCTGGGGTACAGTATTGAYCTTCTCCAGATGATCTTCATCTCTAGAAAGTTCAGATAGTTTTGATTTATCTTCTGATTTTCCTCCCATRTCATTCTACGAAAGATGATGTTTTTTTTACTGTAATATTAGATTATCCTAATGTTACTCAAACCATGTTCTCATCATCTATATTATAAACTCTACATTACTATTTACTAATACATACATGGTCAAGAAGCTGGAAAATTCTTGTGGGTTTATATAAAAATTGTAAATAAGTATGTTAAAAATTAGTAATATAGAAAATTTAAGAATAGCTAAGCATAGAAAAAGAGAGTTCATAACACAACTTGATTAATCCTTTGGCTAACAAAGTCTTAGTCACTTCTTTGTTTCCTCTTTGTGATTCAATGCATAGCCTGTGTTTTGGCACTGTTAAAACTTCCAATAAAAATAGTTACTCATCAGCTTTTCTATATGGTATTCATCACTACTTAGACACCGTAGTAGAGTGTAGTTCTTAATATCAAATACATGAAATATGAAACGGGGACAGAAGCCCACATGAAATATGCAACAGGGCCCAGAAGCATTGCTATATGTGTCACTTTATGTGAATGGAAATCCCACTGTCACTGCTATCAGTTGTGGCTCTAAGGACAATAGGTGTTAAATGGAAAAAAAAATACATATTATTGTATGTAGGCTCACAGAGTAGGTTTACACGAACAGTATTTTATTATTTCTCTTGCTTGTGAGAGCTGGGCTTTGCACTGTTAATATTCTTTTAATATTTTCAGAATGGACTTCATGTGTCACTTTCTAAATTAAAAAAGCACAATGTAAATCAAAAAGATGATCAAATGGACCGAGTGGTGTTGAAGCATTTAGATCTATAGGAAATACCCCTGCTCCTTGAACTGAGAACAACTGCAAGTAGCAGCCATATATACCTAATAGCAACTTCATGGTTGGTTCTGTAACTTCAAGTCTTTCTTTTCTCTTCAGTTCAGTTTCAATCTTTCTTCAGTCCTGACTTCATCCTGAACACTTGGCAACTGATTTCTTGCCCAATAAGTTGCTACCTTATCTACTTGCATATTGGGACTCTGCACCTCCTTGAACATCCAGTTCCAAACACCATTCCTGCTAGTGGTGGGAGATGTGCATATAAAGACTCCTTTTATCTTCTCCAATTAGTAGCAAAGGGAGTACTTGAAGCTAGGACAAAATATTTGCCTTGTTCTTAAGTCTGGTACCCCTTCCTACAAACTCACAGGTACTTGAACTTGTAGGAAAGGTCCCAGTAAGATGCGCTGTGTTAGAGAACAGCCTGTGCAAGTGCAACTGTACTAATTCAGCAGCTGGATGCCTCCTTCTGCAAACCTGTACTTTTTTTCTAAGCTTGAAACTTGTTTTCTGTTTTGGGTAAGCCTACAAGGATGATAAAAGACATGCTCCTGCCAGCATCTCAGCCAGATTTCAAGGCCCTAATTAAAAATCTAACAGTCTTAGGGTTTCTCTGTAAGACAGTTATGAAAAGTTTTTTTACTACATCCAAAGCAACATATTTTCTTAATCATATTCTTAGAAACTGCTAAATCTTATTACCTGAAACTTACTGAAATAAATTCAGCTTCACGCTTGGAAAGTTTCAGAATGAACAGTTAAGATCTGGCGGAGTTCCAAGTTAGTGGAATCACCAAGCCTGGCCATTTGTAGGCAGCACTAATGTTTCTGACCAAGAAACATGTRCATAATGATGTACAGAGCACTGTTATTTAACAGTGCTGCTTAAGCCAAAGATAGAATTAACATTTCTTGAATGGCTGCTGTGTGTGTTATAGAGTGATATACAGCTATACATTACTTCTCCATGCATAACATCCTCCCTCACCAAGGTAGCACTTAACATACATATGAGTGCGGATGTCATAATGATGTAAAAATCCTGATAACGTGTGGAAAGCTCAGCTATACATCGTCTGTCTGCTGACTGGGCAAACATAATCCATAATATTTATCTGTGTATAGATGGGAAATATTAAATAAATTTGAGTTTGTTATGGAGCTTTATTGCAGTATCTTTTCAGAGATTTCAGTCTTTCAGGTAGTCTATAATAGAATCATAGAATGCCGAAGGTTGGAAGGGACCTCAGAGGTCATCGAGTCCAACCCCCCTGCTCACGCAGGGTCACCTAGAGCACGTGGCACAGGGCTGCATCCAAGCGGGTTTTAAAGATCTCCAAAGAAGATAGTGTGGGAAGAAATCGCCATGACCAGAACAAACAGCCATGGCTTATAAGCAGTATTACCCCACAGCTAAATTACAGAACTAGTCTTTGTTAAATTCATCCTGCTCCAATCTTAACCATTTTCTGAGGCTGTCTCTTTACAGCTGATGCAGCCACACACACTGTAGTAACTTTTTTGCACCTGTTGTCCATGCCATCAGTTCAGCTAGTAAGCACATTTTCTTCTAGCTATTTATAACACTCTTCTGGGTTATAAGCATTGACGTGAGTTATTTTTCAAAGCATAAACTTCTTTCCTTTGATGGCAATTTAACAAAATTCCTTTTAACTGTTTTAGGATTATGGAGACGTAAAAGACAAATGCTCCAAACTCTTCTAGCTCCACTTAATTTTAAGGAATCAGGCAAGATTAGTTGAGGTAGATCAATAATATTTTTTAAATAGAAAATCTTTTCTGTAGAGAGTTATATCTACTGAAGTATTAGCTAAGCAAGTAAAACTCTTGATCACAGCATAGTGTTCCTTGTCCTTACTAAGGCTAACTTGCAGCGAGCTACAGTACTCTGAAAGTTCATCTCTCCACATGAAGTGAGCATCAAGTCTCTTTAGCAAGGCTACTTCACATTATTGGAGTAAAATAAGCAGACACCTGAGTTAAAAAAAAAATAGCAGAAGATATCTTGTGTGGATTTTCTTTTCCTTTTTTCTGCCCACTCTGAATTTGAAACTGGGAGATCACAAGCCTCTTCACTCTGTCATGGTGAGTGTATGGATGTTAAAAAGAAATGTYGAGTAAGGCAGAGAACTTAGTACACTACTTTTCTTCAGCTTTTGCAATATGAATATCTATCTTATATTAGTGTGCACGGCAGTCCCTTGAATTAGAAACAGGAAATACAAAACTTTGAACACGATGATAATTTGGGTTTACTAAGCTTAATTCTTTACATTCACATACATTATAGATGTTTTTATCTCTACCCCTGGGTGTAAGTACTAACAAATCACAAGCTCATAGTGTGTCAAAACTGTCCTAGCTTATTATAATTTGTAAATAAAAAWTATAATCTAATAGCTCAGGAAGACTAACAGGATATGTTTCAACTCCTGTTGAAATCATTTTGTCCATAAATCATAAACAAGCAGCCTTGATGATTATGCTTTTGTACAATATGCATGTGATGCCCATATTAATAGCTGAATACTTCATGGGGAAAAAAAAAAGAAATAAAAGGGGAAAATAATGTTTCATTGATCTCTTAAAAAACTACTTTGTATTTTCTTCTCTCCTTTTATCTTCTTGAGGAAGATAAAAACTTTTGTTGTCAGCTTGAAGGGTAACAGTAAAATATCGACATCAAAATATACAAAAGCTAAAGCTCTCAGCCTTAGAGAGGAAGGCACAATTCAGCTTTATAGCTCACTGCAGTTTCTCTGTTCCTATTTAGAGAGCCAAAAGCTAGCGCTGTTTGCTCTTCTAAGCTAAAAATAGAAATAGAGGAAAAAAAACAGACATGAGGCAAGGGGGCACAGTTTGAGACTAGATGTGTTTTCAAGGGCAAAAGTCGTATTTGCTGTTAATGTCACAGAAGAGAGCTTCTTGGTCATGCTGCTGCAAATGGAAGGCTATTTAGTTTCTGTGTCATTACGCAAATACTCCCATGTATGCAACTGGCAAAGCTGAGGCAGGACATGAGGCTGTAGGTTGCTGCCTGAAGCCACAGACTTTTATGGCAGCAAATGCCACTGTCTCAGGAAATCTTGTATTCCTGGGCAACCCTGGACTTCCCTGGCACTTGAGTTGCGTGCAGTTTGTATAGCAAGTAGTGGGTATTTTCTGTGCCTGCAGTTTGACAGTCCAATCTCATTCATTTAATTAAGGAAGCTGTCATCAGTTGAGCTTCAAGGATTCAAAATCTGATTTGTATTCAAATGGGAGTGTCCCTTATGCCATCRCCTCCCTCTGACATATGTCATTCCTGTCCCCACCTGGGTGTGTTGCTTTCTCACCTACCTGGGTCACGCTCAGCACTTAACACAAGTCTCTTCTCCTCCATAAGGTCTGTTTATTGAGCATTTACTGCATGCTTATGGTCTTAGGAAGCAGTCAGCTCTTGGAACTGTAGCTGGACCCTGAGAAGGTGCCAGGTTGCCGGAGGGGGCAGGAGGAGGCAGAGAAGGCTGTATGATGTAAAACAGAGGTCACAGTCTCCCTGAACTTGTCATCACAATTTTATGGCTTAATAAATAAATAAGCTGCTGCAAGTTCTTGCTGAACTGGCACCTGCTTCCTCACCCATCAGTTTCTTTCTCTCCACAATGTTCTGTTTAGTGTCATTCTCTCCTTGCATCTCAGCCAGTTGTCCTCATGCTTGTGTCGCTGCCCAGACAGTTCCTTCCTTCCACCTGCTGTTCCCTCCCTGCTCCTGTCATATTTTGGCAGCAGCACCTCCCTTGAAAATTGCTTGTGAGTGCTTCACACCTCTTCCATCCGCATAGAGAAACGCCTACGGTGTCACTGCTCCAGTATCTCCCTGCACAGAGCTGGAACTGATGCAACTCTGGAGCTGGTACAAGGGGCTAGTGCAGGTGTAGTGCTTGAGGTGTGCAATGCACACCCTGTGTCACAGTCTACACTGGATTTGGGCACATCTGTATGGACAGATATTGTCTTACTGGCAAGCAAAAGGGCACACACATCCATCTGGTCCCAGTTTCACATGTTGTCCTTTWGCCAGACCAGCAGTGGGATCATACTTGATGTAAAAAAAATTATTAACTTTTTTTTTTTTAAATGCATGTAAGATCTCTAAAAACTCTTCCACTGAAAGAACAAACTCATTGAACCTAGCA